CCCTCTCCTCTCTCTCCTTGCTGCCTGCCACCTTCTTCCCATCCTTCCCACCCTCCTTGCATCCTTTCAGGTATTTGTTCTTGTTTGGTAGTATAGGGATCAAACCCCCAGGGGCTCTCTAGTATTGGTCTACATTGCCAGTGTGCCATCTTTGCTTTTAATTTTTAGAAGTGCATACTTATGTGGCCCAGGCTGGGCTTATATTTGTGATCTTTCTGCTTTAGCCTCTCCAGTAGCTAGGATCTCAAGTATGTGCTGTCATGCCTGGCTGTTTGTGTTACCAACCTGAAAACCAAATGTGTGTTTTTATATGCACAACACTGTGCCTCTTACTGGTTTTTGCCTTTTATATATAGACTTGTATTTCAAACTATTCAGTTTAGCACTCATTCAAAGCAGTGAGATTCTATCTGCCTTTTGTGAGTGTTAAGTTTACTTGTGATTTCGCATTTGAATACCTAAAAATCAAACCAATTCAGTTATTACTTTCACCAGAGCATTGCTGGGCATCATTTCTAGAAATTTGTTTTCATGTGTAAAACATGAATCCTCTTATTAAATAAAAAATGTTACTTGGTATATCCCCCTCCTCCAAAAGTAATTTCCAAATGCTTTGATTAAGTTGTCAGATGTTCCCTTAGTCATTCTTTTGGGTATTTCTCAGTTGCTTGCCTGAAGTCTCCTGCTTCTATTAATATAACTGCTTATTTTTTCCCCATATTAGATACTTTAACTTAAAAGATGAAAATGTTACCTCTATCAACTTCAGTTCCCTGCTTTGAACATCCGAGACTCTTAATTAAAATGTGCCCTGCCTCTGAGCTCCCAGGAAGCTGAGACCCCTCTGCCCAAGCACATCAGATAGAAGCAGTCTTACTCGTCTTCCTGGTAGGCCCTCTGTGTATCCTGGCAGACAAGGTGGCTCACAGGCATCTGAGTTTTATTTATATTCTTGCAGTGGCTAAAGGCTGTGAACATATTTCCCAGAAATAATATGAAGAGGAAAACTGAGTTTTTTTATTATTATCACAGACACACACACAAGAGTATTATCAAAAGAACGGTAGGCATTATGACAGTTAGCTTCTTCTTACAGGTGGAGCCATTAATGTAGATGATGGTTTCAATTTAAATGTATGTTTTAGGTATACAGTCCTTTGATTCTTGTAATAGTCCTATTTGTTCTTGTGCCATAAATAACTGTGATATATAAGACATAGTTTTATAGTAGAGATGGAGCAGCTTCTGCAACAGCTTAAATAGGAATATCCAAGTTAGAAGAAAGTATTAACAGTATATCTCAGGCTGCTAAAACATTATCTTTTAGAGGAGTTGATGTCATGAGACATTTCTAGCTATTATGCTAATAATAGAAATATTAAGATGTTAATGATTTTGTGGCTTTTGAGAACTTGAAATACATTTTGGGCAGGTAAGAAATGAAATTCTAATTTTTATTTAATTTAAATTAAATACGTGTCTAAATAATAGTCACCATACTGGAGAGTGCGAAATGAACATTTCTGCTGTTGCCCCTGGACCATACATTAAACATTCCTATAAAGTAGAAGGCTTTATCTTTAAAGACTCACAGTTTTACAATACTGATTCGTGGTAGCAGAGTTTTTGGAACTCCAACCTCTGTGTTTATTCTCTGTCCTCTCCTCCCAACCTGTCTTCCTGTTTTCTATTCTTTTTATTTAATCCCTTTAACAACAGTTTTCAGCATAAGAACTTACTCTGCTTCCCATCCCCATTAGCACATTTGATCCACCCCATTCAGATAAAGTGGACAGAACTTGCTATGGATTAGCAGGGAGATAGTGAGAAAGACAATAGGGAATCAAGGTGAGAACTTCCGCTTTTATGATGGAATAGTAAGGTGGGTCAGTTTCCTCAGTATTGAGAAACCAGATTAACAATCCATGGCTCCAACTAACATTTAACAGCCCTTATGAATCTCTAGGAAAGAGGTCTGGATCCGGACATAGAAAAAAATATATGTACCAGGTAGGGAAGTTTATATATGAAAATTTACATTAGGACAAAAATCACAGCCTCATGGACTCGGTTGAGAACCTTATCGATAGTTGCGGTCTCTACCTTTGACTTCTCTGTGGTGTATTGCTCAAGTTCTTGTTTTACCCATGAAGTCATACGGAACACAGTTGCTTTTGCCAGGCACAGTAGCATAGACCTTTAGTTCTAGCTATCCAGGAGGTTGAAACAGGGAGCTCACTTGAGCTCAGGGTTTGAGCCCTGGGCATAATAGCAAGACACTGTCTCCTTTTATTACTACCATCACCACCCCAGTTTCTAATACATGCCACAAATTCCCTTTGTGATATCTGGAACAAAAACCGTAAGATTGTATTCTCAGAAATCAAATATATTTGAATTGGGTCTAAGAAAGATACATCAGTATGAAACTCAGAGGAGCATCTCAGAACTAAAACAGATTGTAGAGTCAGTTGATTATTCATAGTCAGATACTTTATGACAAAATGACCTTAGCCTATCCTTTAAGTTATATATATGTGTGTGTGTCATCACTTTTACCACATATGTGTTCAAGGAAGAGAATGTAAGACGTCAAATAAACTTTGCTGCTTTTGTAGAGTCAGTTTAGATATTTGAGGAAAAAATTAGCAATAACCCCAAAAACCCAATTTAATGACAGTTCGTAAGAATTTTACATTAAGTATTTTTATTATAGGAGGACCATATTCATATTCAGTTATATAAATTACAGAATGAAGTGGGAGCAAAGTCAGCCTGTACCAAGGCTTGTTTCTTTGACTGCTTTGTAAAAAAAATTTTCCTGTTGGTTGTTGAAGTAGTTTCTCTATGACTTCAAGTTAAGGATATTTGTAATGAAAATAATCAGCTGATAAAATTTACTCAAGTGATTTGGAAATAATTCTGAGAAAAATATGAGATCATTAAATTACAAACCTTAGAAACAACTCATTGTATTGTTCATTTCTGTTTATCTCCTCGTATAAAACACTGATTTTAATATGATCATGCAAAGAGTCTTTGAATTTACTCAGGAAAAGGAAGATTTGTTTGGACAATGTCAAAAGCTCATAGACTGTAGTCAGTCAGTAAAAGGACATCAGAAGTTAGTAAGTAGATAGGATTTTGCCAAAGAGCAAGTTAACATAAACAGGCAGCTTGCTTTTGTAGGTGAGGTGTTTACTGAACTCACCCTTGTCTTGGGTCCACCAGTGTAAGACTCCATGACTAGAGCTGTTCATAGGACTTGTGTGTGTTTGTATATAGTGGTCAAATAGAAAAGGTCCTGATAATTAGTTCCTCTCTGTCCTGGGCTTGAAGACCAGAATGGCAGCTCTGTTATCTTCTGATGCTAAAAGTAAGTGAAGTGCTATTTTATGATGGTGGTGCATAGGTTCTGAGTCTCATCCAGAGCATAGGAAGTGCTACAATAAGCATGGATTTGTGAGGAACAGTGTAATTGTGAAATAGCTATGTTGCCTTCCAGGCTTTTTCTGGAATGTCATCTTTAATGCATCCTGCGCCTGAATCATGAAAGTGAATGTTTTTCCTGAGAAAGGCTTGGAAGAATCTGTGCTCTAGACAGAAATTAATGTTGAATTGTTGGTGTACAGAATTTGGATGATGATGAACAGGAAAATTCACTTTGTAGAGGGCGTGTCTAAGGAAGCCAGGCAGTCATATATGAAAATATTGGACCTGGTTACTCACTAAGTATTGGAAAAAGCTGTCTGCTTGGCTTTGGATAGTAAATTCTATGTCACATACTTTTTCTCCTGCTACCTATTCATATGTCATATACTGATGAGTCAGGATGATTCTGTGCCAGGGATCTGCTACCAGTGCAAGGGTTTCAATGTGCATTTCTGTACATTGCAGGGCTAGAAGCATCTAGAGGTGTCTTGAGAAAATTTAACATAACCGATAAGTTAAGAGACATGCCGTTTTCTTTCTCCAAGACCAAGTCAAGATTGTTTTGGAGGGCAGAAAAAAATGAAGAATTTAGAAAAGACACTTTTTATGGAGTAGCTATAGTAATTATAAACTGAATGGCTGATCCTTAAGTTTAAAAGTTCCTTTGTGTCCTTAAGAGTCTGTCTCACTCTAATTCAGAAATCAAAGTAGAACAATTCAGGACCACTGTTTGCATTCAGCCTTGACATTGGTTAATGTGCCCAGCATAGAACATGGGAGATTACATATGTCTTCAGTTCTAGAGTGACAAAAAACTTTTAGGTCTGCTTTTAAGGGTCACCAGCCTAGATGGCCAAGAGCAGTGTGACTCCTCCTAATACAGCTCTTGGAAATTGTCCATCCCAGTCAATCCACCTTTCTTCCTCAGGGTTTAACATGAAATCTTTGGGAGACAATTTAGCCAGCGGTGCATTCTCATTGTGTATGATACAGACAGTTAGCTGCCTACCCAGAATGGAGAGCCAGCCTGGACACAGTTAGACATCACTTAAATGTTAATGGAGACTATAAAATAATATGGATCTTTAAAAGGGGAGAAGGGAACAAAGCTTAGTAGAAAGCTATGTGCATTTATAGAAGATTAGGTAACATGAGTTCTTAGTGCCAAAATGTTTGACTACAGGATGCTTTATTTGATAAAATAAGTGAATTGGTGCTACAGTGGCTTTTCTGTTTTGCCGGTTTTCTGTCTTCCATCTCTGAATAATGAAGAGTGACTGTACTTAGAAAACAAGTGTCTGATTTATGCACAGTGTGTCTGCTTATCACCACTGACCCATGTTACTGTCATTGCCTTTACCATTCACCCAGTTAAGCAGATGGCATATTCTGACGTGGTTCAGAATTTTTATTTACAGTCTCTGCACCATTCATGTATTTTTAAGTGAGCTAGACTCCAGCTGACCATGTAGTGCTGATCCCAGCTATAGGAAGAGCTTTGACAGCAGTGGTCTCTGGTTTCCTGAGTCTGTAATTTATTTAAAATGCTCTTGTCTTCCCTGCACCAGGACATGCCAAGGCATGTACTTCGCTCCAAACAAAAGGAAATTCACATTTCATGCTGTTGGCCATAGTAAACTAACATTCCAGGTAACAGCCTGCAAGGCCACTCGCGCTCGCTGTCCAGTTGACGAGTATTCTCGGCGGAGCATGGCTCACGCTGTCTTGGACCTTTGAATTTCAGATGCTAATGCTGGAGACCGTGGGCAGACCAATAACGCCGCTTCTGCGTCAGCGTCCAACTCCACCTGAGCAGCCCCACGCCGCCACTGCGCAGGAACCGCCGCCTGTTACTGAGGTGTCGCTCAGCAACACTGGTCACGTTTGGAAAGAAAATTAAAAAGAGAAAAAACCTGTTCATTTTAGTGTTCAATTTTTTTATTATTGTTCTTATTTAACCTTGTAAGATATCTATAAATACAAACAATTTCATTGTATTCTCACTTTGCAGGAGACCGGGGGTGGGAGGGGTTATGGGAGGGAAAGCGGAGCACTCGAACACATAATCTCTCTCCCGTGACAATCTTTTTTTTTTTTTAATCTAATCAAAAGTCTGCCGTTGTGTACTTTAAAAACAGGATTTCTGCCTCGTGCCCCCTCCACAAAAGAAGAAAACTGTTCTGCGCTAAAGGTTTTTTTGTTTTTTGGGTTTTTGTTTTTGCTTTTTTACTTTATTTGAAAGACTTTGGTATAGTGCACAGCTTGAAATTGGTTGGGAGCTTAGCAGGGATAACGCAGTGGGGACTCATGTGTCACTTGTAAAATTAATCCATATCTTCTGGTGTTGGAAGACTTTGCCTTTGGCATGTTGTTGGCAGGTGTGGCAGACAAAAACGAAATGTGTGTCAAGTGTAACCCAGAGACATCAGTGTGGTTTGAATCTATACAGGCGAGATGCTCAGTTGTTGATTGACCCAGGTTGGCTCTGCTCCTAATCAGTGCTAGTGATGAAGAAGCTGACACAGGAGGCTGCCAAGGAGGAGCAGCAAGCAGAACTCAGCCTGTGTGCTCTGTGGTGGGTCTTTGTTCCCCTGACCAAAGATTCTCTGCAGTCTTCATACAGTTTTAAGTTGATGACCTAGAAGGACACTGAAGAGTGTTAAGGCCAAAGTGGCCACAGAAGTCAAAGGCTGATGGGCCTAGGAGGGGCAGGCCAGAGGCACAACTCACCACTGTGAATGAGCTTGTCAGACTTCTCCTGGAGTCACTTCCCTTGGAAAGATACACTTAAGAGAGGACATTATTGTTAAATAATGTGAACTGTAACCATCTACTGCTTTGTTTTGTTGTATTTTTAATTGAAAACCAAGTTTGTTGGAATTGCCACATCTACATATAGGTCTAATTATAAATTGAAATCAAGAATCTGTATTTAATTTCAGCTTTTTTAACCTCATGCTTTTTAAATTTATTTATTGATGCATGTCAGATAGGCCATTTTGATTTTAGTTGGTAGGAATATACATCAAAATAATAAACAGTCACCTGTACCTACTGACGTTATAGGAAAACTGATTATATAAATGTGTATATATGTTATATATACATGTACTCAATACTGCCTTTTCCTTTTTGTCTACATGGTATCCAAATTGACTGGTTAAAGCATGAGAAGAATGTGTCCGCCACCCCATTAAGATTTTTTGTTTTCTTTGTTTCTCAGTGAATAGTGTAAGAATCAGTCTCTTGTTTTTGAAGAAAAAGCAATATTCCTTGGAAAGCAAGGAGGATTGAAGGATTTTTTTCTTTGAGGAAGTAGATTTTCACAACCAGTTTGTTTTATACTTTTAAGGTTGGTATCTCTGTGGGCCTTATATACTCTAAAATGAACCTTAGTCACCTTGGTGCTTATGGGCCATTACTTGACCTGTGAATCTTTAAGGCACAATCAGTTACACTTTACATTTAAAGATCCCTTGAGTGATGGTGTCTTTCCCTTCTGCCCTCTCCTCCACAGGCCTTCCGGGGCTAGCTGGTGACTGTAGAGCTTCAGAGCTGAGTGCTAGGTTGTAAGGATGCGCCGTCACTTCCTTGCTGCCTCCTTAGATTATGTTAGGGCGGTTAGGAAGACTCTTGGCAACCCTCATGCAGGCCTAGCACTCTGTCCTGCTTCTTTACCCTGTGTGTGACTCCAAGAGAGTTTTACTGCTTGCTGAAGTGAGCCAATACCCAGAAAGACAACTGTGAGCCATCTTAGTTTTCACTCACTTTAGCTAAGCTTAGGCAGTAGAAGGGGTTTCCCAAGCCTCTGGTTATACTGTTCATGAGAGAGGAGACATGCTCAGGTCAAACCAAATCAAATTTAATTTTACTTTTTATGAAGTGCTTTTGAAAGCTAATTAAGACTTGAAAGAAGTCTGAAATCAAAGTATTGGCAGCATAGTTCTTGGGATTGGCCTTGATAGACCATTTTTAGAAAAGTTTTACAAAGAATCACCACAGGCTGGTCTATGACAGAGAAATGGACCTAATTTCAGATCAAACTGCCCAGCCAGACATTTGGATACAGACACTACTACAGACTTGGTATAGAAAACACTTTCCCACCTCCCCACCCCAAGTGGAATAAAAAGGAGAAAAGTCAGATGCTTTTTTCCCCTCTCCCCTACCCGCTCTCTCTTCCGTCTCTCATGGGGGGTGGGGAGGCTGAGGTGCACAATTTGTCCTCAATCATGGCGGGATCACAGAACTCTTTTATACAAGTGAGATCCAGGTCTCTGAATATCTTTTTGTAAATACTAATAATAATTAAATGCTCCTCACCAAATTCAAGCTTGTACATTATATTTTCTTTCAATATTTTTAAATTTAAGTTTTATTTTGTATGTAAATATGTGGACCCAGGAACTGTTATTAATGAGCAAAAAGTTAACTGTTCAGGGCAGTGATTCTGTTTAATAATCAGACAAAATGTAGACGAGCTTTTTAAAGCCATATAGTTTTAACTCTGTACAGTAGGTACCGGCCTGTATTATTGTAACAATAACTCTAGCAATGTATAGTGTATCTATATAGTTTGGAGTGCCTTCGCTTCCATGTGTTTGGTTTTTTTGTTTTGTTCTGTTTTTTATTTTTCATTTTTAGAATTTTATTGATTTCCTTTATCCATGTCTCCTTGTACATCCCCTTTCCCTTATAAAATAATAGCTCACAAAATTATCTTTGCCCCCTTCAGTTGTTTTGGTGATTCCACGCTCAGGAGTGGGAGGAGGAAACCATGTTCAAAATCTCATTTCATTCAACCCCTGCCTTTGTTTTAGTTCTGAATGTCTGTTTCCTCCTCAGCAATGACCGATTTCATTTCATAGTTGGTCTGTTCAGAAACTTAGTACTGGGAGCGCTAGAGCTGGAGGACATCGCATAGATTAGATTTTGCTCGTCTCTTCCACAAGCCCTAACCATGGGTCTTACAGCAGATTCTGGGAGCCTTCCATGGTCAGTCTCTCCCTTCCCTCTCTCTCTACATCCCAAATGAGAAAGAAAGAGAAATAATTGGATTTTTTCCTAAATCAAGGTATCTTCACAGTGTCAACTTTTGATACGGCAGTGGTCTAAAATGCTCTAGTGCACTTACTGTCAGGCTACAGCATGGAGTGCCTTCGTGCTCATGGAGGACTGTTGTAACACAGGACTCTCAGCCTGTTCCCTCTCCTGCCATCTCTACCCCTGTTCAATGAAATGTCCTTTTAATTTCTCTTTTAAAAAATCAGTTTAATTTTTTACTCTGTGCCCAACATATAGGACTTTTTTGAAAGAAAAAAATGTATAAAGCATTTGTTTTGCTTCCAAGTACTTCATATAAAATGTCTTGAATAGAAGAAAAACTACCAAGCCAAAGGTTTTTTGAAACATCATGCATTCATTCCAGCAAGGCAGAAGACTGCACCTTCTTTCCAATAACGTGTCATTTAAAGTTCTCTTAAGTTTTGGACCCATCTTCTTAATTTGTGTTTTAACGAAGTATGCCTGACCAGTCATCTCTGTCTGCACCAGTGCAAAGGTTTCTGAGAGGACTATTTTATTCTCTATCCCTGTGGATATAAAGACACTGGCATTTCATTTATTTTTCCCTTTCCTTTTTAAAGGATTTAACTTTGGAATATTCCAAAGGAAATTTGGCCAATGCCAGATCCCCAGGAGTTTTTGGGGGTTTTTCTTTATTTTAAACCAAAATTGTGTCTGATTCCTATTGTTCATGTTCATGATAATCTGATCACAGAGACAAACACTTTTATGTTTTATATAGAAAAATAAGCATGCTCCATAGTAAAATCTGTTTTTTCTGGTAGAAACCTGAGCCACTGAAAACAAGAGAGACAACTAGAAGCACAGTAGAGTCCCAGACTATGGTCTACCTTTGAGAGGCTTTGAAAGTAATCCCTGGGGTTTGGATTATTTTCACAATGGTTATACTGTTTTATTCAACTTTGTTGCTCCGTTTTTGCACCTCCGCAATAAAAGCAAAATGACAACCAGTACATAAGGGGTTAGCTTGATAAAGTAGACTTCCTTGTGTTAACTTTTGTGGTTTTGTTTTGTTTTTTGTTTGTTTTTGTTTTTTACTATATCTGTCTACAGGCAGATACAGATAGATGTATGAAAATGTGCTTGCCTGTAAAATTTGCATTTATAAATGTGTTGCCGATGGATCACTTGGGCCTGTACACATACCAATTAGCGTGACCACTTCCATCTTAAAAACAAATCTAAAAAATTTAGTGTATATATATAATATAAAGGAAAAGCAAAATCTGTATAACATTACTACTTGAATGCCTCTGTGACTGAATTTTTTTTTCATTTTAAATATAAACTTTTGTGAAAAGTATGCTCAATGTTTTTTTCCCTTTCCCATTCCCTTGTAAATACATTTTGTTCTATGTGACTTGGTTTGGAAATAGTTAACTGGTACTGTAATTTGCATTAAATAAAAAGTAGGTTAGCCTGGAAATGAAACTAAAATTTCACAAGTGTGTGGTCTTTATTTCAGTTACCTGTGCCTCCTCTCCCTGTTTTGCCACTGCAGTGTGTAGACACCATCCCCATTCCTCTAATTAGGGAAACATGAATATTTGCTATAAAAATCAAATCTTTCAAATGACATTACTCTGCTGTTAAAGGCCGCAAGAGATGCAGCTTCCAACTTGGAAACCTTTGGATTCGATGTAAAGGAAACTTTGCAGACACTGCTTTGAAGAGAAAGAAAACAGTCTCTAAAAGGGACAGTTGTAAAAACGTGTGTAAGCTGCTGTCTTTGGTTATTGCATTCATGGGTGTAGCTGTATTTTAAGTTTCATTCTATTAGTAATAATCTTTGGGTCTCTGTAAAATATATGAATACCACAAACAGTGGGGCTGTGCCTCCCAGGTAACCAACACATGTGTTTGAGTCTGCTCATTTTCAATACTGGATGGTATATGTAAACATGTTATGTCTCTTAGTGCAAAAAGAAACATTTTTTTAGGGCTGACTCTCTGTCAGGCCTGATTGAAAGACTAGATATAAGGTCATGTGACTGCTTCAATAAAAACAAATTTATATTCCACCAAATCTGGTCCTTTCTGTTTACTGAGGTGGTGGGGTGGGCTGATTCCATTCCTATTTGTAAAATGGCAGAAGTCACAATGGGGAGGGGAGGGACCTGGCCCCCTACATACCATATGTTACTTGCAGTATGGGCCTCATGATGGCGTTGAAGTCCATTTGTTTGGGACTTGGGTGTTCTCTTGTTAGGTCCTGTCTTAGCTGTTTGAATTGGGATTGAGCTAAGTATTCTGTAAGGCATCCTTTTAACTTGGAACCGTGAAAGACTCCATATTTGGCTTCTAAATCCTTCCAAAAAGGGTGATGAAAGTCCTTTGGGGTCATGTTTCAGGAAGCACTGATAGTGAATTCCTTGATGAAAGTGAACAAAAATACTGGCATGGTCACCCATGTTTTGGGAGTGGGAATAATCCGCCCATCAGCACCATTTGACTTAGGAGGGCTGGGTAGATGAAGGGAATGCAAGCAGGGAAAACAGGCTGCTGTGGGAGATGGCAGGATGAGGCTCACGAGTGGTCTGGAGCTAGGGAAAGCTAGCTGATAGAGTGCTTCTCTTCACAACCTCTTCTCCCCAGAAAGAGACCACTCTGGCCTTTTTAAAATGAAGATGTGCTACTCATGTCAAGGCTTTAGGCCAAGTTGGGGACAGATAGGCTGCCAAGAGACCGATGGGGAAGCTGGAAGGTGGGCGGTAGCTTGCTTAGGTCTTGTCCCCTTATTATATAGACAGCTAAGTTAAATAGAAATTTATAGGGTACCATAATATTGATTATGCCCAAAGTAGGCTGTAAAGAGAACCCCACAATTGGCTTGTTTTGAGAAGTGTGTCTGGCTGAAGCCTATGTGCCGAGGTCAGAGTAACTAGCATTCAAATTCCATTCCCACAACTAAAACCTAACTCCAAAAACAAAGTTCTAATTACAACCATACATTTTGTCTATTCTGTTCCTACCTCAGAAATGTTTTGTCCTTTATGAGCCTTGTTTACATTACTTTCCATAAAAACCACTCAGAGCTAGCCTTTAACCCAATTAATTACCAATAAAAGTCCACGCCTGGGACTGGCCAGTGCCTTTGTTGGTTGCACCAGCATTGGTTGTCCTGGCACCCCACTTTCTCTCCTAGTTCTGTCTCGATGTATTTTTTCCTCAGCCCTGTGTCATATACTGGGCAGGTAGATACTAAAACCTAACTACAGGGGTCTCCAACAGAAATTAATATATGGTCAGAGAATTTGGGCCCTCAAAACGCAAAAAATGAGATGTCAGAATTGTGGCTGGAGGCAGATGTGAAGTGAGCCAGGCCTCAGAACATAGAAGAATAGCCAGCCCTGTGAGATAAACAGCAACTTGAGGTTATACTGTGATCACCACCACCTACCTGCTCCAGTGGGCCCAGCTAGGCATGAGGCACATAGGTAGGTGACCAGAACTCTGGACTCATAATAATCCTGTCCCTTCTAGGTCCCCCTGCTACATGACTTGTTTCCCTATATTACCCAAGCTGCTATACCTGTAATCTTTTAGGTTGATTGTAGCTTTTACCATGTTGTACCAACACTGTGACTTTGCTGTATAAACCACCCGACAAAGGGCCTCCCTCGGTGGCCACCCATTTAGGACCCTCTTGAAAATCTAGGTGCTTATTAATTACTTCCCCTTATTGTTTGTTTTTTTGGTTGTAACCAGGGATTGAACTCAGGCCCTTGTGCTTGCAAGGCAGACAGCGGAACCACTGAGCTAAATCCCTAGCCCCTTCCCCTTATTTACAATAAAACTCTCCTAACTTCTTCCTTTAGCTCTCGACTTCACTCCTCAGAGTTCTAAGACCACGAACTCAGCGTATTTGACACTAAAAGGTTGGGAGTTATATTTTTTCTACATCCTGCCATGAGCTTTGGAGACTGACTCCACCCTGTCCTGACAGCTTAATAGAAGAACAGTGGCCACAGAGATACCTAGAAACTAACGCTTAGCTCTACTTTTCAAAAGCTCAGGGAAGCCAGTAATGAGGAAACCCAAATGTTTGAGATTAGCTAAATTAAATCCAGCTCTTCCGATCCTACCAACAAGACCCACAGAACTATTAAAAATAAGTATCCAGTGTGACCTCTCCAGCTAATCTTGCATCTTAATCAGTTTGGAGTACACTTAATTTTTATAGTCTGTATAAATTGTGTATAAGTCAATTCAGTGTTTGGCAAAATGCCTAGGTGTTTTGTAGATCATTTCTGGGGGCTGGGAGTTTACCCTAAATCTCATCTTGATCTCCCCTTACCCTACCTTACCCTAACCTACATCTAGCAATAGTGTCGGCCACCAGAATGAACAGCACTCTGAAAGCTAATTCTCTGGGCAAAAGGAGATACCTGCATTATTCATGAACATAGTTGAATGAAATTTATATTTCTAAATTAGAAACATTTTCTAATTACAACTGAGTGTATAATTAGAATTCCTAAGAACAAAAGCTGTATTCATTGGGCTTATAGAGAGTTATCCCTCAGTTTCTTTTCTAAACATGAGTTCTTGACACAGAAAAGACTGGTAAATCTGGAGGGTTATAAAATATGTTTATTTACTTTGATTTAGTTCTTATGTTAGTGATATTTATATTATTAATTTCTTATCCTCAGTTTTCCCTGGTGATGTCTGCAATTATCTGTTCCTTAAAGTTCACTTCTTTGTGCTTTCATTTGCAACCAAATATTAGATATTCAAGATGATTCTATTATATTTTAATTATGGCATATGTATACTTTAAATTTTTTATGTCGACTATTTAATCAGCAAACCAAATTAAATAATTCATTGTTATGTTCTCACACCAGCAAAGCTCTGAGAAATATAAAGGGCAATAATAAAATCAGTAATAAAAAAATTGTGCTGTTTTTATTTCTATTCCCCCTACACACGTTTCTTTCTTCTCCAGAAAAGGAGTCCAAAACATGTTTATATCTCTAGCCAAAACTTCATTATTTAAGTTCTCTTGCCTGGGTTCAACATGTCTAAGAACATAATTGCTAAGCCTAGTTCTCTGGTAGAGAATGCCTTATGTAAAACTAAAGCGTAGCTTGTGAGAGCAAAAAGTGTTTATTCACAGATTACTGTGACCGAGGCAGACATTTCCACACCCTTTAGCAGATGTGTACACGGGGTATCAGTGCACACAGCGACTCTGATCTGGCATGTTTATTAACCCACAATCACCGCAGCCACGTAACCAAGCACCTCAGTATTCCCGTCTCAGACTTTCCTTACCAAGCCCCACGGTTCCCACAACCACAGTTCCCACCATTTCCTTCCATAAAGGCGGCCCCTCGTACCCACAGATTCCCAGTGCTGTCAGCATCCACACAAAGAAATTCCCTGGGCTTATGTCATGTGCCACTTGCCCTTCTGACGCATGCTACTTGGGTTCCAACTTTTATTTTCTTAACTGTAAGCTCTGAGATCAAGGTCCACATCTGCGTCAAAAGTGTACATCCCACAGCATGCTGGTTCTTAGTAATGTGCTTGAGTGGATGCAGAGACTCAGAATGAGGTGTCACCAGCTTCTGACAATCCAGGCCTCCTGGCTTCTCTAGAAGACTCCCACAGACACCAGCGCACCTGCTGTTGAGCTCAGGCCAGGAACCCCCACCCCAGCCCCTTAGCGAGGGAGGGGTATGGTCCAATGGGTGGGAAGTGGGCGGCAGGAATATTAGAGGTAGCAAGAAAGAGACTCCAGACAATGGACGTGGGTGTGCTATAGATGCTGTTGAAGCTCAGCCCCATCACTCCTTTCCCTCCTCCCACTATGGCATTTTAGAGGGATTTCAGGATTTATTCACACACCAAAGGGCCTTGTCTAAGGGAAGAGCAGCCTTGCTTTTCTAATGCGCCTAACCTGTAGACCAGTGCACTCTCCATACAGGATCCATGTTTCCCTCTCTATGGGTTGCACTGGGGGATGGGGTACCATGGCCAGTACCTAAGGTATGCTGCCCTGCAATGGTCAGAGTGTTGTCAGCTATTACCATTGTGCATCTGTCCAATGTCAGAAGTGGCATCTCAGGGCCGAGGATTTAGCTCAGTGGCTCTACTGCCTCGCAAGCACAAGGTCCTGAGTTTAATCCCCAGTCGGAGAAGGGGAAGGGAAGGGGGAAGAGGAAGAAGAGGCATGTCAGAGTTCTGGGTCTGGCTGTCCCACAGAGGCTTCACCCAAGGTCCTCCACTCAGTCATCTGTACCACTGATCAGCTCCCGCATGAGGGGCGTGGTGACAAAGGGGTGTGTGTCTTGGATGCGCAGTAGCCTCTGGGTATTCTGGGCATTGACACTGCGCAGTTCGGTGAGCACAGCCATGATCTTCAGGAACAGGAACCTGTAGCCACCAGAGGAGAGGTTGGGGTGCAGTCCACCCTCTCTCTAGCCTGCAGCCCTGACTGCTCCAAGGGTACACAGATTTTATCTCAGGTTATCCCAGAGATGGGCTCAGCTGAATTTTTCTGCTGTGTCAAAAGGTGTTTGAAGTGGCAGCTGGGCTCTCCCTGCTCTCACCCACAGGGCTTGCGTTTCTGCATCTGTGGACCTACGTGGAAATTCCACACCTTACAGGTGCCAAGTGCATGGGTTAATTTGGGGGTCACAGAGTCACACTGCCTTGGTTAATACCAGGGGCCAGGACTGAACTAAGGAAGCTGGAGGCTATTGGAAGAAGGCTAGAATCTCTTCCTGGACCGAGCCCCAGATCTAGTGTCTGGACATATACCACATGCCTGTTTTTCCATGAAGGACAAGAAAGTTGGCACTGCCAACCCTCTTGGTCCCATACAAGGGAGGACTAAGCAAATAAAGAGATGGCTCCCACAGCATCAGAGGGTGAGGAACTAAAAAGCGCAGGCCAAGGGAGGATTTGAGCATCCAGTTCATACCATGATACACAGAGCTCACTAGTTTGTCCTTCTCCACGGGCCCATGGATATCAGACTATGCACTGGGTCACAGGGACTCAGAATCAGTGAAGCCAGGAAAAGCCTCTGTTTAGGTCAAGTTCCAAGCAGTTGCTGTTTTGAGTCATAACCAGACAAGGGAAGGAATTTCCCACCCCCAGTTTGTTTTCTTCCTGAGAAATTTGTAGATAGTATTCAAGAGCTCGCACTTTGGACATGGTCTGGCTGGGTCCACTGCCGGACTCTGCCCCTCTGGCCTGGGAACCCGAGAAAACTCCTGAAACTTGGCTCCCATGCACAGTGGTGTTGGTACCCATCTCCTTCAGTGAAGACTAAAGGAGATCGGGCACACTGACTACTCAACACCAGGAATGGCACCTCCCAGTAAGGTAGCGATTACAGATTTGTAATTTCCATCACTACTGGTGTCTCTGCTCTCCTTACCATCATGTGGTTATCTGTGGCCATTGCTAAAGGACCCTGTAGGAGACTCAGGAGAGTATCCAGCTCTTCCCTGCCCTAGATGGCATGCGTTTGGAAGGCTCTGGCAGCAGATATGTGTTCTCTTAACAGGTCACAGCCTTGAGCCCCACAGGTTTTCCGAGGCCTGGCTGGCACTCGGGCTGACCGACCAGGAAGCCTCTGTTTAGCTCACAGAATGCAGCCTGGTCATCAGAAGCTGTCCCGGTTACAACAGTCCCAGAGAGGCCAGCGCAGGCAAGGCCTGGAGAGCACACCGAGGGCAAAGCAGGGCTGCAGGGAGGACAGCCCACCCGTCACTCAGCACCTCCCCACCCTGCTCACCGGTGGGCAGGCTGGGGCCGGACACACTCGATGTAGGCCTTCAGGGTGGTGGCGAATCGCTCCTGCAGCTCTTCCACCACGGCACGTTGCATCACGCCTGGGCGGTCTGGGTCGGGGCAGGGTGGGAAAGGGTAAGGTACAAGTCAGGGCAGGAGGGACGAGGCTCAGCGTTGCCCAAGAGGGGAAATTCTGACCAACCAGCTTCTGAGCCAGAGTCCTTCAGGCAGGGCAGGGAGGGAGCCTTAGGGCTTGAAATCACCCACTGATCCGAGGAGAAACCATCCGGCATCCCTACCCTGGCTGAGCACTTAATGGGGAGCAAGGTTATTGGCCAGAACCTTCCCTGGGGAGGACGGGAGAAAGTGGCTACCTCTGCAGACCCAGTAGAAGGGCGTGTCGTGGGCCTGGGGAGGCCGTCACCTGGGGAGAAGAGGGAGATAGCCTGCATCAGCACATATTCCTCCTGACGCAGCTGCAGCTTCTTCAGCATGTAGTGGAACTTCATCACAGGGTGCAGGAGAAGCTCCTGGAAGCCATCTGTGGGCAGACACCAGGTACAAGTGCAGGACCTCAGGAAGCTGACCCAAGATCCAGCCTTCCCCCACCAAGGCCTTTTGTTCCATCACCCAGTCTTTCTACTCTGCACTCCCAGGACCCATGGATCCTGACATGGCTCCCTTCCATCCACAACTGTTGGGTTTCCCTCCGTCCGCCAAGTATCCCTTGGGCACCTTTAGGGTATTTGAAGCAGTAGGCCAGCCGACCACATTCCCAGATGCCAGTGTCTGTGTTGAACATCGTGTTACACCTCAGTAGGCACATCTCAAAGGTGGCTCCCTTCAGGAGAGAGATCTGGTCCTCGATGGGCAAGTCCCTGGGGGCAAGCGTAGGGAGGGGGTGATAGCTGCCAGGGAAGGGCCCACAGATGAGCCTATTCCACATGCTGGGGAAGGGATGGGGCAGGGTGAGGAAGGGTACACAGATGAGCCTACCACATGCTGGGGAAGGGATGGGGCAGGGTGAGGAAGGGTGTCTTCCCTGAGGACTGCTTCAGTTGCTTCCTGGTTGCTTCCCTCTTTCCCTGTCACAATCGGCCAAGCAGGTGACTCCCATTATGGTCCTCTCCTCTCCTGCTACCATCTGGACTCTCGACGCCTTGGCATTCGGGTCCCTTACTTCCAAATCTGCCCTCTTCTACTGACCAGCTGAAAGCTTTCCTTACTCTTCATGAACCTTAGTTTCTACTTGTGAAAGAAAATGATAGTGGCACCTAGAGTCAGTGTACTCAAAACAGGTGGCCGTAAAAGCAACGAGTGGTGCTGACCTATGGATCAGCAGATGCCACTCGTGTCCACACCAGTAGGTAGACTTCCGTTCCTGTTCCTTGACCTAAGTTGCCACAACTTGAACCCACCCCCCTTGTTGCTACCCTACCCTATTACGTAAGTCCTGCATGTCACCAACAGGGCCACAGGAAAACCTGGAAGCTCCTGGGGTATAATGTGCCCTCTTCTCACCAGTGAAATTTGTGCTCCTGGCATGTGTGATTCAGCCCCACATGCAGAAGCTCAGCAAGGCAAGGAAACCAACCCAAGGTCAAAGACAACCCCCCCGGGCAGTCTGGGGTCTCCCATTGACCCCACCTGCCATAGTTGTTGCTCTCATGCCCAGCACTGGGGAGACCTGGTCCTTTGGACCTATCAGGGCCACCCATCCTTCCCATGGTCTATTCAGCCTTCTCTTGGCTGCAGATAGCTGGAGGTACAGCATGTGTTCCTCTCCTTCCTATCATCTCTCTCTCTCTCTCTCTCTCTCTCTCTCTCCTCGCTCTCTGTGGACTTCCTTCTTTTTCCTTCCAACTCAGCTTTTGCTCTGAAACTGTCAACTCATTATTCCTGCCCACACGGGGAAACCGAGAAGGGAAGGAACGACTATTTGAATGTTCACCACATGCTGAGTGCTCTTCAGATACTTTCTTATTTCGTATGATATCCCCACAAAACTGGTATGAATAGTTCCTCTCTCCAGATGGGGCTCCTGAGACACAGTGGGTTACGTGACAGGCCCACAGCCCCAAAGCTAGTGAGCCATATATTTCTACGGCACTGGTGCTCTGAGAGGCAGCCACAATGAGAGAGGGTCATTTGGCTTTTAATGTCCCTCAAATTTACAAGGACGTACCTAGATCCTTTGAACATGATTGGTTGTTTCCTTTTCCTTTCCATATCTATCTGCCTAGCCCCATGTCCTACCTGAAGAAGGAAATGACTTTGGCAAAATTGATGATGCCTTTGAACATGTAGGTTGACATGTCAGCCAGGTGGGGCAGCAGGGAAATGATCTCTTTCCCATCGCTGTTTTCTGGGGGTTTGTAGTTCCAGACACTGCCATCTTCCCCCCGCAGCTGCAGAGAGATCTTCATAGAACCCAGATCTTCCTTGATCTGGTTCCATGTATCTTCTTCCAGTGGGTATCTCAGAGACTCTGGCATCTCTTGACCACTGCTAAACACCTCTGGCAGCTGGAATGCAAGACAGGGTAGAGAGGACAGGCAGCATGCATTTTCACACAGACCCCAGATGGCCATCTGTGGCCAAGAAGATGCACAGCCCCAGGCATTCACTCCCATGCACACGTGTGCACACAGGCAGCACTTACTCCTTCTACCTGCCCATCCCCTATCAAGTAGTGCTTTCTAGATCTATGAAGTAACGGTCACACAATCTGCACAGTCGGAATGGAGACAGAGGCGTCCTCCTCCCACTTGTCACAAGCATCCTTGCTGCTGGGCTCAGAAGACAGAAGGGCAAGGGAGCTACAGAGGCAAAGAACATAGCCAGGGCCTCTGGGATAATCCAGCTCTCTGAGCTGGACCGGTCACCTGAGATACCTGTGCACATCTGGGGAGGGAGCCCCACTAGGAGCAGACCCCAGTGTTGAAGGAACACCAGTCCACCAAAGTCATGCCCACCAAGTCCTGTAAAGCCCTAAAAGTCATCAGAAAGACTGGAACTTCTTAGCTTTCTCTCCACAGTTACTGCTGCTGATGCAGAGAGTAGAGATTCCCAAACCTGTATCAGAACTACAAGGTGTCTTGTGCCAGTTTCTAATGAAGGAGATAGGTAAGAATGTGCATTTCTGACAAGTTCCCAGGGATACTGAGGGTCCCTTCCCTGGGGACCACATAGTAAAAAGCCCAGAAAATGAGTCAGGTTTTGAGGAGCCAGCTCTGAAGGCCCCTACCCGGAAGTCCTTGAAATGGGTGAAGGTGGTGTCAAAGGTCTTCTTCTGAGCTTCCATCAGCTCCCTGATCAGCATCTGCTGCTCCTCAGTCAGCCCCTGCATGCTGGGAGGCTGGGTCTCCACCCTTTCCTTCTTCTTCCTCTTGATCAAGGCTCGTCTCTGCTCCACCGCTGCGTCAGACATGATCACTGCCGGGACAGCAGCAGGTCAGGCTCGTCACGCGCGTGCCCCCCAGCACACACACACACACACACACACACACGCACACCCCAGGTCGCCACGGTGCAGGCGCAGCTGAGAGGAAGGGCCCAGCGCTGCCCACCCCTCCTGGAGCAGACCCCTGCCTCTCCGGACCCCTCCCAGGCCAGGACACTGCCCAGCAGCCCCACTCACTCTCCTTCTTCATGCCGCTCTCCAAGCACTTGTGCAAGCGGCAGGCCTGGCACTGTCGCCTCGTCTTCCGCGTGATCTCACACGTGCCCTTGCGGAAGGGGCACCTCAGCCGGACATTTCGTTTCATGGCCCGCCTATGAGGGGAGGGAGAAGAGGAGAGACTTGATGGGGCCTGGTTCTGGCCAGGGGCTTGGCCACACTGCCTCTCTCGCGCATCCTCTCAGCTGTGGATGAGGCATCCTAGTCACAGGCTCTGTGCACCTTGCCTTTGCCCTCGAGTGGGGCCAGGTCTAGGAGAGGCATAGGTGAGCCTCTTGCTTAAGGTCACAGACTCGGCAGGCAGAACAGGAGCAGGGAAGGAGACTTCTCTGACACATTCCCATGGGGGAGGAGCTTGCCTTTCCACAGGTGCCTCTCTGCGCAATGGAGTCCAGCTCTCAGTCTCCAGCCTTCTCCCTTGGAGAGGGGCCTCCTCGCTCAGTCCTGCAGCTCACCATGCTCATGGCTCAGCCCCAGGCAAGCCCTGAAGCCTTGCTAGGAGGTGAAGTCTGACCCTGGGAGCAAATGAAGCAAAAGCACCCCCCGCCACTCTTGGCCAGCTGTTATTCTAGACTGGGGGACCAGGGACAGTGGGAGAGAGCAGTAAGGTGTGAGGAAACTTTTCTACCTCCCTACATAATGCAAAGTTGGTTTTTTGGAATAGCCTCAGAGGGCAGAGGTTCAGAGCCCTGTGAGGGAGATACTGCAGGCACTGATCCACTTGCACAGGTGCCTGAAGTTGGCAGGCAGTGGAGGCAGTGCCTTCGGGCGCCACCTGCTCCTCTCAGTCCAGGCATCGTGAACTTCCCACCAAAGCCCCTGCCAGTGCAACCCTAGATTGGAGTCCCTTCACTTCCATAGCTGGCTGGAACTTAACAGTGTGGAAAATGAGGAATGCTGGCTTGGAAACACGGCATCAGTCAGGGAGGCTGCTAGCTGCCTTGAGAGCTGGACTGGGCCATGGTCATGGCAACCCACAGATCTGAGCTTGGAGGCCTGAGCTCTCTGAGCAGGTGAGCATCCTAGGGAACACCTTAGGTGCCACCTCGCAGCACTCGCCTCTCCTGTTGGCCTGGGTAAGAGACCCCTGCTGATGCTCAGGTAAGAGACCCTAAGAATGGGTGAAAGGAGGAAGGGGAATTTATTAGAGGTGTGCGTTGTATCAAATTCTAAGCTATGTATTTGGCAGAGCTTTGCAAATTTACTTTTCAAAACTCATTAAATCTGTCCTCTTATCTGCCGGGCATAGATGCCTGAGACTAAGGCTTTGATCGGATAGATCACTACCAGTTGTCTGGGCAAAGGATGAGATGAAATGTGAGTCCAGGTCTGATGAGAGCCCATGTGAGTCCATGATGCTGAACCCAAGCTCCTTCCCACTGATAAGTTGCCTCCCTCTAGGAAGGCCAGGGATGGCACTGGGTGGAAGGACCGAGCACAGGATCCCCACACCCAAGGCAGCGCTGCTTGGACGGACACCTCAGATGTCCTCTTCTGTGCTGGGAGAACACAGGTGTTCAGATGGTGGCACTGTGCAGCCACTGGGCCTGTGCCCAGCTCAGTGATGTAGTGTTGCTCAGCCCAGCTCTAGCCCATGAGGTATGAAGGGTTCCTCTAGGACAGTTGTCTTGCCCTTGGAGGAAAAAGAGACGAGCACCTTTGTTCCTTGGCTAAAAATTGTAGTTATTGCTTAGGCCCTGGGGTCCAAGAGGGCTCACCAGTAAGAGGGCAGAAAAGGAAAAGGCAGACATGAGCCACAGAATTCACCAACATGAAAGCCTTCAGACTTCTTGCTATGAACTGTAGCATACTGTCCTTGTCGATAAGCCAGTCTGAGCTAAGTTTTCCATGAGCTAAGTTTTGCCAGTGTCACCCCTGTGATAGCCCAGACTCATTAGACCTACCCTAGGCAGAGTTAACCCCATGTGACCTGACAACAGCTCAGGCTTGGACCTGTCTGCTGAGCAGCTGGGATCTCTTCACCCTAGTGATGTTGAACTCTCTTAGCCCAGCGGCCACTGCAGCACCTCCCTGGGCTCAGCTAGGCCTAAAACTCTTCCTGTGGGACCCCAGGCAAAAAGCCAAACAAATCCTCCATTTATGACTCGCTGACCAGAACTCCATCTTTGGGACTGTAGGGTGGCACCTTGGATCTAGGGGTCACTTCCACTCGAATGAGCAGCTACCAGGGAACCCTTTGCAAAGGGCCAGAACAGACAGTTGTGCTAGGAATTCGCAGAAGTCCCCAGCACGGCCTTAAGGTGGGCACCACATGCCCCGTCACTCCTTTCTCCCCTCCCTTTCTCAGTCAGAGCTTTTGCTGAGGCTTGCCTTGCCAAGCTAGCTTTTTCTTTCTGTTTTTCCATCTGGTTACCGTGATCCTGTTGTCCAGTCCTGCCTTGGATTTTCGAATCTTTTACTTTTTTACTGGCTGATTTTTTTTTTTTCAAGAACAGATGGAGGATGCTTAAAAATAGAAAGGGACCCAGGTAGGACCTGGGCATACACAAGGAAGCTTTGAAGATGAAAGATTTCCCTGAGATATAAAAGGTGCATTTGAGACTAATTGGGAGAACTTGGTGAGCCACCCTCCCAATCTAGTTCTGGTAGACAGGTCAAACCGAGGCCCTCAGACATGCCCATGGGGTTGAGAGCAGCTTCCGGTTAGATGGGACCCAGCATGTCAGTGGTGGCAGGTGAATGCGGGCTGATGGGCAGCTCTACCTGAAAAAGCCCTTGCATCCTTCACACGTCATGACGTTGAAGTGATAGCCATTGGCCTTGTCCCCACACACACGGCAGACGTGGGGACCCCCATCTTTTTCCTCTACGTTGATGGTGGGCGTCCCAGAGACAGAGTCTGCTTCTTGATAGTGTACAAGGTTGGCATGACTTCGATTTTCTTCATGTCTCACCTCCAGGTTTGCCTCTGGAACTCAGACTAGAAATGAAAAAAACCACAGGGGATTAAAGCTGAATAGTGATGTTCCGAGGCTGTGGGAGGAACATCTGTCCCTTCGACTGTCATCTGAGTTCAGTTCTGGACCCCCAAACTAGAAAAATGTGAGTGGGGATTTGTGTTATAATCAAGAAAGATGTAACCGTGATTTTTTTGTACGGAACCATAGGGTATGGGAGTAGAACATGTGAACAAGAGAGCATGAAAGAGAAAGCCGGGCATGGCGGTGCATGCCTGTAATCCTAGCACTTGGGAGGCTGAGGCAGGAGGATCGCTGTGAGTTCAAGACCAACCTGGGCTACACAGTGAGTTCCAGGTCAGTCTCAACTACATAGTGAGACCCTGTCTCAAAAAAACAACAAAAAACACAAAAACAAAAACAAACAAACAAACAAACATAAAACATGAAAGAGAAAAAGGTTTTAAGGAAGAAAAAAAATGAAGAGGAAAAGAAAAGGATTCCACCTAATTTACATCATGGAGGCAGCACTTAAGCAGACTGAGATTAGAAGGCCATGAACTGGGCCCAGTCCTGGTGGGAGAACAGCTCAGGGGCCGGCTGCTGTTCAAGATGACTTCTATGCCTGGGTAGATCTAAGGAGGAGAGCCCCTCAGGGAGAGAAGGTATCCAATTGAATAACCAAGCAGAAGGAGAGGCAGTGAGAGTAGATCCAGGGTCACAATGCAGGAAGATAGTGGCCCCTGTCCTGGTGTAGCTGAAGGATAGATGTGGCCATCAGTAGAGCCACACCCAAGGTGTCCTCCCCAGGCAACTCCATCTTGAGAGTGTAACTTGAATTCTACTTGGAATGGGCACAAAAATAGGAAGCAGGAATGAGGGACTGACCTGCTTGCCACACTCCTGGAAAGTCTGTCTAGGGCAACCACACCGCAGATGATGCTGACTTTCCAAAACCAAAATAAACTTCAGGCAAATTTTAACACTCAGATTTCTGTTTCTAGCATCATGACAGATGATACTTGACAGTTTCACCTAAAAGAGTGAATGCAAAATGAATCTGCCTCTGAACTTGGCCCTTTTAATGGAACAGGCTGACTAGAAATTTGAACTAAACAAGTTCCCTTGATTTTTCAAATCATAACCCTGACATAATATAAGCTTGCAGAAAAAAAAAGACTTATTTAGGGTGCTCTCAAAGACCTCAAGCAAGATTTGATTTAAAGTGTTCTTGGTTAGTAATTTTGCCAGGCACCCGGAGAGGCAGCTGCTTCTACTCTTTGGAGGAACTCATTTTTCACTTTCTACCTGGGTGTAATTTCCAAGATATAAGCACTAAAACTCACGCATCATGAATTGAAAGACTAACAAAACACCAGACAGAGCAAAAGTCAGCAAAAAGCAATTTTAAGCAGAATTAGACACCCACATTCTTTGAATCATCAAATGCAGAATGTGTGTGTGTAGGTGGAAATGGTTGAAGATATAAGAACAAAGGCCATAAAATTGACCGTGTAGATTTTATAAATGAGTAGAAATTAACTTTAAAATCTAAATAAACAGCATCTGTACAAACCAACGGCAACATGGTCTTGAGATTTAGAAAAAGAAAAACAACTGAAATATTCAACTGTGTAAAAATAATAGAAATTAACTTTAAAATCTAAATAAACAGCATCTGTACAAACCACGGCAACATGGTCTTGAGATTTAGAAAAAGAAAAACAACTGAAATATTCAACTGTGTAAAAATCAGAAGATGGGTGATCACACTGAAAGTTTTCCTAACTCTATACTGTGAAGGAAAAAGGCAATAAATGACTCAGACTTTGATTAGTAAAGTATACTTGTTAAAATGGTGCAACCACTATGGAAATCAACATGGAGATACCTCAAAGAGCTGGGACTAGAGGTTCCATTTGACCCAGCCATCCCTCTGCTGGGAATCTTTCCAAAAGAATTAAAAGAATCATATCACAGTGATACATGCGCACCTATGTTTATAGCAGCACAGTTTGTAACAGCTAAAACTTGGAAACAGCCCATTCGCCCGTCAGTTGGAGACTAGATAAAGAAGATGTGGTTTTTCTATAAAATGGAATGCTACCCAGCCATAAAGAATGAGAAATTAGATTCATTCATAGGAAAATGGGTACATTTTGAGGATATACTCCTAAGTGAAATAAATGTCACACATGTGTAAATACCAAATAGTGTCTCTGGTGTGAAAAACTATAATAGTACATAAGATCCTAATGATATAATTGACAATGTGAAATAGGAAGAAAAGGGCTAAAGGTGTAGGGAAAATGGGAAGGGTAAGGGAAAGGTAATAAGGGAAAAGAAAAAAATATGAGAAAATGAGAAAAGGGAAATAAAGTGTTTGTAAATGGGGAGGGAAGGAGGGGGTGAAGGGAGGGCAGGGACAAGGGGAAAAAATGAGAACCAAGACCTGTCATGTAAAGGTACAGGATCCCAATGATGAATGTGACTATACTGTATACCCAGAATGTACCAATTAATTCAATAAAAAGAAAAAAATGTAACCTCTTAGAGATAAAATGTATAACTTGGAAACTAATAGGAAGGAAAAAGTCTAAAATAGGCCATTGGAGAGGTAAAAAGAAATTGAAGGGAGGACATAAATGAAATGCAATAGAAAACACTAGCCAAGTGTTCATGACACAGATGTGGGCAAAGACTTTTTGGGTAAGACCCAAAAGCACAAGCAGCAAAAGTGAAAATAGGCAAATGGGTTGTATTAAACTAGGAAGCTCTTGCACAGTAAAGGAAATGATTAGCATGAAGAGACAACTTACAGAATGGGATAAAATATTTGCAAACTACTCCTCTGACAAAGAATTCATATCCAGAATATATAAGGAATTGAAACAACAGCAAAAAAAAATCTGATTTAAAAATGAGCAAGTCATAAGAATAGACATTTTTCAAAGGAAGATATACAAGTGGCCAACACACATATGGAAAAATGCTCAATATCACTAATCCCCAAGGAAATAGCAATCAAAACCATGGTGGAGGGCTGGGGATTTAACTTAGTGGTTCCACTGCCTGCCTCACAAGCCCAAGGGCTCAAGTTTGATCCCTGGTACCAAAAAACAAAAAACAACAACAAAACAAACAAAAAAATATGATGGGATACCAGCTAAACAAATTTAGAATGGCTGCTGTCAAAAAGATACAAAATAATAAATGTGGAATTAGATTTGGAGAAAGGGGAGTACATCTACTTTGGTGAGAATATAAATTACTAAAGCTGCTAGGGAAAATACTATGGAGGTTCCTCAAAATTGCAAAAAGAGAACTACCAATGATCTAACAATCCTGTTAGGTATATATATAAATAAAAAAATGGAACCATTATATCAGAAAGATACCTACATTCCCAAGTCTGTTGCAGCGCAATTCACAATAGCTGCAATATGGATTCAGCCAAGGTGTTCATTGACAAATGAATAACAAGACCGTGACAGACACGTACAATGTTTCAGCCATAAAAAGAATAAAATCCTATCATTTTCAGCAACATAGATGACACTGGAGGCCATTATGCTAAGTGAAATAAACCAGGCGCAGAAAGTCAAATCCTGCACATTCTTCCTCATTTTTGAAAGCTGAAAAAAAAAAAAAACAATTTCATAGAGAAAAGGAGTAGATCAGTGGTCTCCAGCGATTAGAAAGGGGAGTGGGGAGGAGCAATAGAGAGAGGTTTGATTAAAAGTACAAGAGTAGGGCCAGGGATTTAGCTCAGCGGTCTGGTGGGCTGCCTTGCAAGCGCAGGGACCCAAGTTCAATCCCCGGTACCAAAAAAAAAAAGTACAAGAGTAGAGTTAGATCGGAACGATTAGTTTTCGTGTTCTACAGCACAGCAGGATAATTAGTCCTGAACAGTTTAGGATATATTTCAAAATAACTAGAAAAGTCCGAAGTTTCTCCTTGAGGAATGCCTGAGATGCAAACGCTAATTACCCTGATTTTGATCCTTAACATGTTGTGCCCATATATTTAATTATTGTACCATACCCTATAAATATGCACACATAATGTGTCAGCTAAAAATATAAAAAAGATTTTTAATGATAATAGAAATACCAAACATATTGATAGTTAAATATAAGCCTATGGAATGTTCCTATTCACACTGAGGAAAATGGTTTAGGTGGCCTAGGGTAACTTAAAGTTTTAGGACTGGAATTTTGCAGTCTGTATAAGACTTTAGGACTTTGTGCTAGAAAGTAAGGGCTGAGGCAGATACCAAAATGGTAACCAACAATTACTGAAACTCTGCATCTTAGGTCCTTTGCAATAGTAACTCATTGTCTTCATCAATTTTGGTTGCTGTAACACAATACCATAAACTAAGCAGCCTTACACACCACAGAAATGTGTTTCTTATAATTCTGCGGGGAAGTTCAAGATCAAGGAAAAGCAGATTCAGTGTCTTTTGAGGGCCTGGCTCATAGATGGCCTCTTCTCCCTGTGTCCTCACACGGTAGAACGACTTGGCTCTCTGATATTTCACTAATCCCTGTCAGGAGGGCTCTACCCTCTTGACTTAAAGATGGTGGTTTTGGGTGGTCCCTCTGCTTTTGGGGTAAGGATTCCAACATATGAATTTTAGGAGGAGATAGGCCTTCCGAACATAACACTGATTTATTCCTTATAATAATAAAAATGTGTACCTATTTCAAGCATGAGAACATACTATTTTGCGTATGGTTCCATTTTCAGGTTCTATATAACTTGGAAGTCACTCAGTGGGCAATAATCAAGAGCCTTCTAAAACCTTTTAAGTGCTCACAAGATACAATGTTTCAAAATCAAAAAGCATTGCAGTTAGAGAAATTTTATTTGCAGGGTAATGTTTCAAAGTATGTGCTGGAGAACTCTCTTCCTTAGGTTGTTGTATCATTCAGAAGCTCTAAAGGGTAGTTAACATGTGGGAAGGAGACATTTGGCAAAGACTCTGCAGATAAATGATGAACTTTAGATGAGG